AGTTTTCATATGCTTTTTTTTTTTTTTTGGAGACAGTCTTACCAAGTCCCCTTTGGCAGACTGCCACGGCATCACAGCTCACAGCAACCTCAGACCCCTGGGCTCAAGCGATTCTCTTGCCTCAGCCTCCCAAGCAGCTGGGACCATAGGCCCCTGCACGGCATCACAGCTCACAGCAACCTCAGACCCCTGGGCTCAAGCGATTCTCTTGCCTCAGCCTCCCAAGCAGCTGGGACCATAGGCCCCTGGCCATTTTTTTTGTTGTTGTTGTTGCAGTTGTCGTTGTCCAGCTGGCCCAGGCTGGATTCAAACCCACCAACCTGGGTGTATGTGGCCAGCACCCTACCTACTGAACTTCAAGTGCCGCCCTTCATATGCTTTTTATAATCAGCTCCACACTAAGGGAACTCCACACCACTTCCATCAGGTGTGTCTCAGAGAAGCACCCAAGTGCGACTGCATACTCTGGTCCTAAGAGCAGTTGCTTAGAATAGAACTACAAAGGAGCAAGAAAAGGAATAATAGAATTCAGGTGTTACAGGCTATTTTAAGGTGCTAGAGTAGAATTTGTTTTGAGACACGGTCTTGCTCTGTTGCCCAGACTAGAATGCAGTGGTGTGATGATAGCACAACGTAACCTCAAACTCCCAGCTTAAGTGATCTCCTGCCTAAGCCTCCCAAGTAGCTGGGACTTCGGGCATGCAATCCATACCTGGCTAATTTTCCTTATTTTTATGTAGAGATGGGCCTTACTGTGTTACCGAGGCTGGTCTTTTTTCTTTTTCTTTTTTTTGAGACACAACCTTAAGCTGTCCGCTGGGTACAGTGCTGTGGCATCACAACTCACAGCAACTTCCAACTGCTGGGCTCAAGCGAGTCTCCTGCCTCAGCCTCCCAAGTAGCTGAGATCACAGGCACCCACCACAATGCCTGGCTGTTTTTTGGTTGCAGCCGTCATTGTTTGACAGGCCCGGGCTGGATTCAAACCCTCCACCTTAGGTGTGTGTGGCTGGCACCTTAGCCACTTGAGGCACAGGCGCCGAGCCCCGAGGCTGGTCTTAAACTTCTATAATTCTATAGATGAGGCACCAGCCCTGGCCTAAAGAATTTTTAAATTCACCAAAGGGATGCCTTTCCTTACATGTCTTACTACCATAGTAAATACACCCTCATGTACATAAATTACAAAAATGTAGCCACAGCCAGATTACACTATGAGTTCCTTATGAGCTAGACTGGTAGACACTGGGCTTGAACTTCACTTTAATGTACATTTGTAGCAACCCAAAAGGTATAGCACAGGACAAGTTTTACCAGCCTGACTGGGTATAGAATAGGTTGGTGAGGCTGTGGGCCACAGAATTCTTATTTTCAGGAGCTTGACTAGGTATCTGCCAGCATTAACAGGCAGGCAGGGTCTCTTGTATCTTCTGTAAAGGTGGATGTACTCATTTGATGCCAGGAGTTGGTATGCAAGTGCAGCTGCTTTGTCCTGGCAACCAGACATGTTTTCCTTTGCCCCCTTAGGCCACTTTCTGAATTCTTACTCTAACAGGAGACTGTCCAAGAAATGAGAAATACTCTGAAAATATTTCTGCATCCTCTTTTCCTGAACAGTCCATACTCAAACATGTGGTCAAAGAGCTTAAAGATTGATGTTGGTTGTCAGCAAATAGCCTTTATCTCCTTCCTGCCCTCATCTTCCTAGAACATGTGTACCTATGTGAACACTTTATTGCTTTTATGAAGCCACCTATATTTTACTGTAACTTGGATTCATTAGAAAAACAACCTAATCAGTCAAAATTTGTTTGCAAGAACTTCTCAATCTGTGTGTATTACTGTTGTTTATTTATTTGTTTTTTGAGACAGAGTCTCACCGTGGGTAGAGTGTCGTGCTGTCAGTAGCTCACAGCAACCTCAAACTCTTGGGTCTAAGAGATCCTCTTGCCTTGGCCTCCCAAGTAGCTGGCTGGCTTATTTTTCAATTTTTAGTAGAGATAGGATCTTGCTCTTTTTCAGGTTGGGTTCCAATTCCTGAGCTCAGGTGATCCACCCACCTTAGCCTCTCAGAGTGCCAGAATTACAGGAGTGAGCCACTATGACTGGCCCTAGAACTTAGAGTCTTTAAGGCAGTTTTCTGTATGTTATGGCTTCATGATAGTTTACTAAGTTATAATCCATGTGTGAGTCCCATAACTAATTAACTTATGTGTGAGCCATACCTTAAGAATATCACTCTTAGAGGCAGGAAAAGTGTTTTTGGCTGGGCACGGTGGCTCATGCCTGAAATCCCAGCACTTTGGAGGCTGACATGGGTGGATTGCCTGAGCTCACAGGTTTGAGACCAGCCTTAGCAAGAGCAAGACCCCAACTCTAAAAAATAGCTGGGCATTGTGGCGGGCTTCTGTAGTCCCAGCTACTTGGGAGGTTGCTGTGAGCTGTGACGCCATGGCAGTCTGCAGAGGGTGACAGAATGACACTGTCTCAATTAAGTGAGATGATCTAGGTTCCTATCTTGGCTGTACCATATACGTATACTGGCTGTGTGTGTACCACATACATGTGGATGACTTAATCTGTGTGTGCCTCAGTAGCTTCATCTGCAAAATAGAGATAAGTACCTATATCATAAAGTTGTTATGTTATTGGAATGAGGTAGCACCAGTATATATGCATAGCATCCAATTCATGGTAAAAATTCAAAACATGATAGCTGCTACTTACATTTGAATTTGAAGGCCAGTAAGTTGACCAATTTCATGTTCCCAGTGTGTGTTTGGTTGTCTAGAAGTAGAAGTTCTGCCATACTATAAGACTACTGGCAATGTACTTTTCCCTGGAGATCCAAAACATATTAATAAAGATATGTGTTTAATGTTTTAATCAAGTGTTTACTAAGCTTAAGCACAATTATATGTAATTAACTTTCCATTCATATTATGGTTGGTAAACACTGTACTAATAACCTTCCACTAAACTCAACACATACATTGGAAAGACTTAGCCAGAAGTTATAGTTTTACACTGCCATTCTCTAATCACCCCTACATCTGTCGTTCCCAGGAGAACTCAAGTATAAGGGAAACCACTTGTCTTTAGGCAAAAAATGTCTCCCTCTAGTCCATTCTTGTTAAATACTCCAACTTGCCTCTAGGTGGTGGTGTTGCACCAAGTGAAAGTATAGGTGTATACATGTTGGGGTGTTTCTTGTTGAAATGAAAGTTGGTCAGAGCTTATAATGAGAGTCACATCAGAAGTCAGCTTACCATTATTAAAGTTGTCTCGAGGATAACTTTAGTTTTCTAAATTTAATTCTTTTTTTTTTTTTTTTTTTT